AAGAGGGGAGTGCTTGAAAAAATAAATCTAGAATAAAGTAGAGTGTTTGTTGAACAATGTGATATGAATGAATTGGGTATGTGTGCGTACAATTCTTGTAATACATTCATGGCTGTTTCCTGTGCACTGGCTCTGGTAGGAACAGACTTTATTTGCATTGTCAGTAAGATATGATGATAAGGATACACAATATGGATCTTTTTAAGCTGATACCGATAACTGCCTGCTTCTTATATTGATATTGATAAGAGAACAGAGATTTTCACAGTTTTGTATGTAAAAAAGAAGTTGATAATCTGTATATTATGCACACCTGAGGGTGAGAAAGACAAAGCTGTAGTGAGCAAAGATGGATGATTTCATATTCCATAGCTGTGACCTACCCACATCTAACTGATTGGGTTAGCACAACGAAACCAAGAACAGTGCTTATGTCACTTAAATTAGTGTCAATCAGGCTATGAATGTGTGGCCACCTCATCATACAGGGCAGGTAGGGATACGTCTGCAAAGTAGCAGTGGCCTCTGAGAATATAATGGGGTTCCAAATGTGCTGTTACTTGGCAAAATCCTTGGTCTTCTACCACAGAAAAAGGCTGTTCATCAAATACCATTGTCATTAATTGCTTTAGCCTTTCAGCTTTCTCTATAAACTTCCTCCAGTTTTCGAATGCCTGTTGAATTGGCACTGCAAACCTTTTTTTGTTAACTCTGGCTGCTGCTGCTTCGTATCCCTTCAATAAATCTTCACTGCAATGATGGTTTTTCCGGTGACTTATCAGTTAAGTTGTGTTTCAGCTTGTAGACTTTTTTCCTCCTCTCGTAATCTGTACAAAGCATGTATTGGAAATTGCAATCATGTTGTCTTCCACTCAAGCTATGTAGAACGTCCACACAGCTGATGACATGTTTGGCCCTAGTCAGAGTGCTTTGCTTGTTCTTCACAAACCAACGTTAAAGGTGCATGCTGCCACCTTTAATACTGCAGTGTGTAGATGCTTCCCTCGTTAAGTTAATGAAAGCTATTTGGCTTTGTGTTGTCTACTCTATGAATTAACTATAATTTCATTATCAGAATAACACATAATGATATATATATAGTATATCGTCATGTAGATTCATTCATTTAGATCCAGATTACTGAGTCATTTTCACCCATTTGCAGCCTTAAAACAAGGTTAACATTATTACTACATAAATAAAGTAAGATGAACCTGCCTTCCCTCTGGTTTCCTGGTATTTTATTCAATAATGAATGGTCCAACTGATAACGACAATAGCTTTTTAACCTTTCTTATAACTATTATGAACTCTAAGTACATTTATATGTAACCCTTGACTTCAAAGAACATCTTCATTTGCCATGTTTTTTTTTTTTTAGCTGTTCATAAAAAGTCAAACTCAAGGTAATATTGTAGTCACTGTATAAAACTGGAGTCATGGGTCATCAAAAATATGTGTAAATGTTATCGCTGCTCTACACAAAGAAGGATTTAATGGGTCATTGTAGGTTGTAAAAGTTCGCACAGAAGTCAGCGTGCACACCTCTCAAATCTTTACGCGTTGTGTGGATGTATAAGGCAGGCAGGCTGACTGGTAAATCCAACTCCTGTTGAGAGAAAAGTTTACATGAATCACGTCTATATTAGTATAGACGTATACAGAATATAGTATAGTAGTAAAGTATTATGCTTTAAATCCATAGAGGTATAAAAGAAATAGTTCTAAGAATTTCTCTGAATGACAGTCACTCATGTTTGCTTCTGTGCAGCCCAGAAAAGCTTGTAAATATGTCAAATGAATGATTGAAAAATGCACTTACAGATGAGGATATTCTTCTAACCATGTAACTATATGGCATAATGATATAAAGATATATGGATAATGTGGTTGGGATGATTTGCCTTGTTGTGTCCATTCACTATTTTCTAGATAGGAGCACATTCACAGAACAGGTGACAGAGACCGGATGCAGGAGTGAGACAGATGGGCGGAGAAGCACACCATTTGAAAGAGATCCTTGACAATGACCTTTTTGGTCTTTCTCCTCGCATTACACAAGCCTGTAATTTTCTGTCTCCAACCTTTGCAGTGAATCAATGCTGCAGGCACTAATCAAGCCTCCGGTTCAGAGGACTCATTAAAAATGTGGTCTGTGTGATCTACCAAATGATGACTCCTGGCATTAGATATTACCAGTTAGTAATAAATACCATTAGTCTGGGAATTAATGATACTAATTACCATTTAGGCTAACTTGCATATTTTTTTTTTTAAACAACTTTGCTTCTAAAATCCAAAACATAAAAATATTCTAATTCACAGTACAAATCTCACACAAAGGTTTGTTATCCTGCAACTTTTTTTTTAAACTTTAATATGAAGAGTGTGAGGTTACACACTGAATGCAATCACAAAGAGGGAGGCGTGGTGGGCGTTTGGAGGGCAGAGATAAAGATGAGCATTCAGTAAACACAACAGACGTGCTGGTAATCAAGCAGCTATTGTATGAGATGCCAAACCCGACAATTTTCTGTCCTGATATGCCTGCTAACTGGCTGAATTTGTAGTCAGTGAATGTATAAATGAGCACGTTTGTGTACACTACAAAGACCATTGTAAATGTACCACAGGCACTTTACAGCTGTGGTTTTGTGTTTTAGTGCTCTTTTATCTCTTAGACATGCAGAACTTTATGTAGGCCATTATCCAGCCACATAGTAAAAATACCTTTAGGTAGCACATACAGATATATTGATCAAAATGAGACCCAAATGGGTATATTGATTTGAACTTGCTTTGAAAGTGCATCAACACTGTAGGGTAATCGTCATAATATTACATTTTAGTTGACCTTTTTTCTTTACCGGACTGTACGAAGGGTTACTTAAACTTAAACTGTACTTAAACACAGGATAATTCTGACAGTTGTGTCACACCCACATGGTGGTTTCACGTATTTTGTCTGATGAGTCCTGTTCCTAGAGACCCATTTTGAATGTTATTACTTGATTAAATGGCAGTTATCAGTAGTTATCAGCCTCACAGATATGGGGAAGGAACTTGATAAATTACTAATTAGAAATTTTCTTAGGCTTTGTAAACAAAATAACAACTTACCACTCAAAGTGAGTTGTTTTTTTTTTTTTGGTGGTGGTGGTGGTGGTGGTGGTGGGGGCGGGGGGGGGGTTATTTAATTTAATTGATTTAAAAAAAAAATTGCCTTTATTAAGGACCTCATTGGTCAAAGAAGGACTTTTGGACCACTAGAAGTAGCTGCCAATAAACACGGCCATTTGATGAAATGATGTCAGCCTTCTGAATCTACCAGCAGGTGTAGTAGGCCCCTTCTAAACCATATCTATGAGGCTGATAACTACTAACAATGTCCACTGAATCAAGTGATAACATTCAAAGTGGGTTTGAAGCTGTTTTAGTGCCTAAACCTAACCAAACTTTAACCATACTGTTGTCACATTACAAATGATTTATATTTCAACAGTGCTTTGTAACAGTTTAGGAGGACACAGACTAATTATGTTGTCCTGTGGATAGAGGCATCAGATCAAGGAACACCTCCATGTGTTGTCTAGAGACACAGGAACAAACAGTCTACTTTGGCTTTTAATTTGAGGAATTTGTTGTATCATTCCAAACATATCTCCGCCCAACTTCAACCACAGCACCAGCCAAAATGATTACAAACACCTGAGAGGGTGTGCAGCGTCTTTAAAATGGAGGTGAAAATATCTTTGAAGTATTTTAACACCCTGTTTGGGAATCAATCATTGCTTGAGAACCCCCCCTAAAAACACAATTCTTAACTTGAACAAATGACCTGAAGCTGACAGCAGAACAGCACTATTAAAGATTCATGTTGAGGGGTGTTGAGGGGTGGAGGGCTATCATTTGTCTTCCTCTTGTGTTTAATTTAAAGTTACACTGCCATCTACTACTGTGTTTTTGTCTATTTCCTTGAGCTATTTGCAAAGTGTTATGGGTACTTTTTGATGCCAAGTGTGGTGGGGAAAAGTCTCTGAAAGGGAGATGGGCGAGGGTTCGATAGTCACTTAACAGAGTAAACTTTTGTTTGTTCTATGTGAATCTACAATCAGAGTAGTAGCAGTGGAGACTGAGAAAGAAACAAGAAATGTGATGTGACAAAACGTCCACAGGGAGTAACCAAAACAGTAAGACAATAGTTTAATAGACTCATTATAACAATAAATAAATATTATATTAAGAGTAATGTATGAAAGGTAAAGTCAAAACCGAGAACATAGAATAGGGATGTCAGTTTTGATTAATTTTGCTTTTAATAACCACTCACCCTTTAACAGTAACTAACCAGTTAGTTTTTGAGGAAGAGAACAAGAGGCCTTTCTTTTTAGTCTGGCGGTCTATTGACTCAATGAGCTTTAGCACTGCATTTTTAAGCGCTAACTTTGAGGTGGTGAAATTGTAATGTTTTGTCATATAAATGTCTTGCCTTTTATTTTATATTGTGTTGGCTTTGCTGACAGACAGCCGGATAGCCGTGTTAATATTGTGGCCACCTGCCTGTTTCCCCCCAGGTAGCCCCAGTGAGTAAGCAGCTTCCTTTTTAGCATGCTTAACTATGTTAGCACTAGCTGTGTTGACACTGCTAACGGTGCTAACAGAGCCAACAGTGATAATATAGTAGTTAACTATGCTAAAGGGGGTGCTAAAATTGAGCCGCTTATTCACAGGGGCAACCTCAGAGGGGACTGGAGCGTGGGAAATGTTTCCACAGCAATGCTTGAGTAGGGACAGTGTTACCGATGGTGATGGCTGAATGAGTGGCGCTGCTAGCTCCCACCAAACCTGGTTGGTGCCCAGTTGACATCCCTCACTTAGAAAAAAATGCAGTTTTACTAAAATGTGATTTTGGATTGACCTCCATAATGACAACATATGGTCAACAGGCTGTTTTTCACAGAGTAACAACTGTGTCTCTTCTCTCTTTCCTTATTTTTCAGAAATCTGCTGGATAAAGACACATTCTCCAAGTCAGATCCATGTGAGTATGTCTTAGAAACTGTGTGTTTGAATGTTTGTGCTCTGCTGTCATCCCTGTGCAGGCACTCCAACCTTTTTTTTTTTTAAAGCTTTCTATCCTGCTCCAATTTTTTTCCTTCTGGTTTTTGTGAATATGTTGCCCTGTGATTTGGGAAATCTTTGTTTTGCTCGGAGTGCCATGGCTATTTGTTCACTGTACTGGAGCTAAAACCCTCACATTGATTTCCCATTTGGAATCTGCCTGCATTTCTCTGACTATCTTTCTTTCTTTTTCTCTCTCTTTACCCCTCATTTTCTTTTTCTTCAACAACATTTCATCCCTCCCTGTCTCTATCTGGTACTTTTTTTCACAGTGTGCGTGCTCTATACGCAAGGTGTTGAAACCAAACAGTGGAGAGAGGTGAGTGTACACACACACATACACATGAAAAAAAGAAAGGAAATGACTTATGTCCAATTAAGTTCTCGCTGTGCTCACTGTGTGTTTGTCGTAATTGTGTTTGTGTGTCGAGAGAGGTTCTCGTTAAGACATTTCAGTGTTTCTATTTTTCTTGTCACCGTGAGCATGCAGTAGTTGGTTTGAACACTTCATTAAAGCTTTTCAGCCATCAGTTGTCTGAAAATGCCAGGGAAATATTCTCTAATTGGATGCTTCAGCCGACAAAGAAAACCCCTCACAATGTAGTAGTGATCAATATGTTGACACTTTGGGGACTAAACAACATGCTGAGAAGGCTTTAAGCCAGCAAACACTGTGGCTTTATGCAGTCAATGCAGCGTTACTGTTCACCCTCTCTGCTTATCATCTGTCTGTTTGTCCATTCATTATTTAATGATAGCCAATGTGTTAATGAACCTAATATTGAACTGAGACACTAATTAACTCACAGTCACTACTAAAGCTGAAATTTGTACATTTTCTTTACATCACTGCCTTCTCCAGCAGGGAGGGGTATCTGAAGTCATGTTAGAACTACAACTAAACATTTGTTTTTAAGGGTCATGATTTACTTGAACAAGCTTCTGCAAACATTGCCAGATGGGTCACTCTTAAGAATAAAACTGACAGTATTCCACGTTTTTCTCATAGCCCACAAATCTCATGAAAAGACCAAAACCACAAATAACTGATCCATAGAGCTCCATTGTTTTTGGAAAACTATTAAAAACACACCAGTGAGCCACACGTGTTTGACTGGCATTTTCTTTTGTTATGATGAACATACAAAATTATGTTGTTTATTTCAAGTCAATCCCACAAATACCATACGCTGCTGTAAATACTATAGATAGAGCCAATCCGCCCTGCCCAACTCAGAAACATGTGTTAACAAGTGACCCGAAAACCAGCCCGTAAACCTGCAAAACCAGAGCTGAGGGTTTCTGGTAAATCACCATTGCTAATACCAACCTACTTATTGTTGGTGTGTTAATTTAAGTTTAAACATAGAAAGACAGCAAGTACTCCTCCATCTTTTGAGTGGTTACATCTTAATTAAATATGATCTTGGGCGCAAAGCTGATGGGTATTGTGGTTTGTTTACTCACCCCCATGCCGGCATCAGCTACCACCACACAAAGATTCCAATTCTGTGGGAAACACTGGAAAAACAAATCCATGGTTGAAAATAGTCCCCAACAAATGCACAGCTTACTCTTGTTTGAGTAATGTTTGCTACAAACTACAGTAGCCAGCTGTTTTATGAAATTACTTTCCTTTTTAGAAAAATTGAACTATATATTTGAAGGATTTACGTAGAAGAAGGGAAGTATTGAGAGATGGACTGACTCACTGTTTAAGTCTGTTCATGGAGAAAGTTAAGAGAAATATAGAACATCACCAGTGTTAAGTTTTGGAAAGCTGAGCTACAAAGCGACTAAAAAGGCAGAATCAAGGTGAAGAAAGTGACAAAACATTGGACAAGATTAGAGCTGCAATGATTAATTGAAAAGTTGTCAACTATTTCAATTAATCACCAATTTGATAATCGTTGAATCAGTTTGTGCATTTTTTTTAAAGGAAAAAAAGTCAAAATTCTTTAATTCCAGGTTCTTAAATGTGAATATTTTCTGGTTTCTTTACTCCTCTATGACAGTAAACTGAATATCCTTGGGTTGTGATAAAAATCAAGATATTTGAGGACATCATCTTGGGCTTTGGAAAATACTGATAGAAATTTTTCACTATTTTATACACCAAAGAAATATAAAATGATTAACGATGACTGTGGAAATATGTTTGAGTGCAATGTAAGGGATTCGAGCAGTAAGTGGAATTTCCTGTGTGTGTTTTTTCAGCGTTTTTAAGTGTCATATTCTTTACTGTTTTACTTTTACTTTTTACTATGTAGGTTGTTATTGTTCCTACAAGCTCTTTTTTACTTAAATTTGCACTGAGGAGGCTGCATTCAATTTCTGACATCTGACTTCCTTCTTTGCTCCTGTCATAATAAGTGTTGGGTAAGGGTTACTTTAAAAGTAATCAAAGTACGTTACTGCGTTACTTTTTAAAAAAGTATCCAGTTACTTTACTGTTTTTCTCCTTTAGTAAAGTAACTCAATTACTTTAAAAGTACTTCCAACGTTACTCCCTTAGAAAAGTAACTCAAGCACTTTTAAAGTACTTTTGAGTATTCTACATTTCCTATTGGGCAATGGACCACAGGGCGCTAAGCCTACATTATTTGTCTCCAAAATTAAAATTATGGATCACTTGCCCTTCACTGAGATCCAATTCTCCCATCACAGCCGTCACTTTGACCAGTAGAGACACAGAACGATCTGCTGCCGTAGACAACTGTATGACAACAACACCCCGGCGTTTTTAATATTTCCTCTAGGGATGTTACCACACAGAGTAAAAGGGGGAAATGATGGTGTGAAACAGCAGAGGCACTTTGTCAACCCACTGAGTTACTGTCATTAGTATCAAGCTAGCAAACAATGGTACATCCTCACCGTCGGACATAAAGTAATAACATTAACAAATAGCGGCCGGGCTTTTACTCACCACAACTGCAGAGGCTCCCAGCTTCATTTGAAACAGACTACATTATAGACGGTCCGTTATTTATTAATCCCTCTGTGTGTTTATATATTTACTTTTTATCCGCTCCTGTTGTCTTTATAAAGTTAACATATCGCACCGTCATTTCAAACTCAACACTTGTTTCAAATTAAAAGCCCCTTATAACCTCGGCTGAGAGAATCTCTCCATTTTCTAAATAGGCTTTTATTCTGAAACATTTGTCAGAACTTCCTGTGGAAGATACAGTAGCTTGATATTTTACGTATGGTGCTTCAAATGTAGCTCCTGCCATCTGCTGATGCTTTTAGGTGACTACTACTACTAGGTGATGTATTATTTCATGACTCAAATAATAGTTAAAGTAATAAAAATAGGACAAGAATAACCCGATGACATCACACACGCCGTGAAAGACGACCGGGGATAATTGGTGAGTACCAGCTTGTAGCGTGTACCAGGCATAATGCAAGTCCTGAGTCTGAAATATGTCTGTCAGCGAGTCCTCCTCCACCTATGTAGACAACGGCAGCATTTCTCCGACCACGTAGCGAGCCACAAGCTCCGTGGCTTCTTTCAGACTGATAGGTTTAACGTTACCTCCGTTATTAGAACCAAACGACAGCCGTTGCTGTTTCGGAGCTGAAGGACCAGCGTTCTAAAAGTAATGGAAGTAACTGATGTCTTGTTTGAAAATGTACTTAAGTATGTGATTACTCAAACAGCAAACTAACGTGTTAGGTTACTCATTACTGCAAAGTAATCAAAGTACTCTAACGCGTTACAAAGTAACGTGTTATACCCAACTCTGGTCATAATTACCACGGCCACAAGAGGTGGCGACCTAACAATAAACACTCCCATTTAATGGGCTGATAACAGCCTTCTGAACCTACTAGTCTGTTTAGCAGGCCCCATCCTAACCTATAGACCCTCAGATCAATTGACAATGAAAATAATCATTACTTACAGAAAGATACAGACGTAACAGTTGGGATAAAAGTTTAGGACAGAAAAAAATATAAAACCATATAAAATCACACTGGAACACTCTTCCACCTTTATGATTAAATAAGTGTTGGTAAGTTTTGCAAAGCAAGTCTGAAAGTCTCAAGCGATTTGGAGGTTATTAGTGACCTCTCTGGCTTGATAAAAAGCAAAGAGGTGACACAACTACTTTGGTAGGTTTGGACCTTGACTTCAGTGCTTGGTAAACAAACATGGAGTCATATACTTTCAGTGCGTTTGACAGTTGACACATCAGTTTTACTCACTAGCAAAGAATGGATGATAAAAACCTTGGAAATGATCATTGCTTTGTTTATGTTGAATGTTTTTTAAGTTAATATTTCCAAGTTTACACCTAGTTGTGCATAGGACCCTTTGTGCATCTTTGAATAGCTGCAACTCTGAACTACAGTTTTTGTTCTGTGTATTCCTGCAAATTTCACACAATCTTTGATGTCAGCCCCCATATTTGACATCCTCACTCACCCCACGATGCAAATTGTGAATGCATTGAAGTGGCCACAGATACAATGTTTACAGATCTGCTCCCCTCTGAATGTATAAAGGATCATAATTTAATGGAATTCATATTTATTTATACAGCAGGATGACCCTCATGTCCTGCTTGTGTGTTTACCCGGTCAGAGCAGATGGCTGTGTGGGCTTTTATGGGACTCTGTTGTGTGTGTGTGAAAATGCCCATGCATATGTGTATATACTTAAAGCACAGGCATACGAATAAAGGTTCTTCCATCATAAAATCTCTTTCGCACTCCTCACAAAAGACACTTTCTTTTAGCTGACAACTAAGACAGGCTGTTAATCCAATCAAGTACACAAAACATAATTAATATAACGACTGTCTCACTGGGGTTTGTTTTCAAGTCAAATTTTACTTTAGTTTCTGCCATGTGCGCTGACTTTGTTATAAAAATAGAAACATTTAAAGCAGTTGTTCCCCTCACGGAGATAAACCATCACATCCATAATCATGTCATTAAGAGGTGGTGGGCGTTGATGCGGCTCCAGGTAATGTTGCGTGAGCCTGAACGCTCCCAAACCTTTAGATTGAACAAGCGATGCCAAACAGGTGACTCACTGGGGACTTTTAAATAACATTTTCTGACAGGACCCTCTAGCATGCCGGCAGACTTGGGTCACATTTGATGATGATTTCTACCTCCCCCAGTGTTTGTCGTGTGTCATGTTTAATGCAGGTGGTGCTCCCTATGAAGATCTCAATTAGATGAAGAATGTCTCCATCATTTTTGCTGTAACTACACAAGATCACAAAACTAAGTCATCTGTGTGCTTTAAAGTGCTTCACCCTAGATTTGGTGGGAAAAAATTTAAGGGTATTTTACACT